GTAGGGAAATCGTGATGGACACTTCTTTGAAATACTTGTAATTGCAGTGATTTGTGCTTTTGCCCTTTGGTAACTGAATGAGCAGTATAGCATAAAGCTGGTCTTGTGGTATAGGGTTATGTGATCATGGCTGTTGCTCTCACAAATGTGCCCAAACAATGCCTGTATAGAGTGGGCCACACAGGGGCTGCCCTAAGGTGCTATCCTGTGCCTTGAGGAATTTGATAAATACAGCTGATTCAGGAAGCTCTTCTGTGCTTCAGTGGTCCAGGAAGAGACTGGGTGCATACTACATGTGGTTTCCTAGCTCTGCAGTATCTAACCCAGGTCTGTCATTGCTAGGTCATCACCTTCACCTTGCTGCAATCACTGAGCCCTCACTTCTTAGAAAAGCTATTAAAATGCAAATAACTGTCTGGGCCATGGCCACCTCCCTCCCTCACCAGGCAGTTCCTGATTTACCTTCAGCCAGTGCTCCTGCCAGGTCCTTGCTTGATTAAAAATGGCTCTGAAAGGCAGCTGTATCACTGTTGTTTTCCTCAAGCCTGAGCAGGGTCCCAGTGTGGGGGTTTGGAGGTACACTACTCTCCACCCAAGGTGTTTGATTGGAATTGGGTTGTACCCTACTGTTTGTGACATGTATCTCTCTCTATTATGGGTTGCATTTCTGTCTGTCATCTTGTCCCTCCCTTGATGCTCATTTGCCATGCTGCTAACCTACTGGAAATCTGGCAGAAAGCTGTCCTCTTGCTATCATAACTATTTAGGGTATTATGGGGTAATACCGAAAAGCAAGGAAGAGCCTCATGTTTTGAACCTGAAGGTTTCCTGACTTGTCTGGGATGCCATCTCCCCTCAGTTTCCCTCCAGAGGCATGTGCCTTCAAAAAAGAAAAAGGTTTTTGGAGTTTTCATACAAGACAAGATCAGGGATACCTCCCAGGGAGATGTACTAGGGCAGGGTTAGTCAACCTGTGGCAGAGGCAGCCTCTCTATGTAGCACAGGGGCAGGCAGTTATTTTGGGCAGAGGGCCACTTACCGAGTTTTGGCAAGCTATTGAGGGCTGCATGGGTAGCCCCGCCCCTTGACAGGGGCCCCACCCCCTTGTCGACCGGAAATCTCGCCCCGACCTCTGACCTTTGCCACCAGAAGTCCCTCTCTTTGCCCCAGGAAGTACTCCTTTGGGGAAAAGGGTTTGTCATCTTAGAATGGGGGGAAAAAAAACAAATTACATACTAAAAATCAAACGCCCATAATAATATATTTTAATTTAATTAAAAAATATATTTTTGTCCTGATTTGTATGTGTTTGTGCTGTATATGTAGAAGTGATTGCATAATAGCTCAAAATGCATTCTTACTCTTGTATAGTGTGTGGGGTGTGCAGGGATGTCAGGGGGTATGGGTGGGTGGGTGTATGGATGTGTGCGGGTACAGTATTTGTGGGGTGTGTGATTGTGTGTGGGAGAGGGTGTGGCTGTGGGGTTTGCAGGAAGGGTTTGATGGTATGTGGGGTGTGCATGGGAGCCCCTGCCCCCCCACATGCACCTCTTTGAGTTGGTCAACATCTGCCCCGCAACAGCCAGAGCCCAAGCAACTTGCAGCACCTCCTTGGCACCATGAACACACACAGCCCCAGCGCACCCCGTGCCTGCTTTGCACCGCCTGGTCGCATGCAGCCATAGCGGTGGGGACCAGCATGTGCAGCCGCAACCCTGCGTGCCCTGTGCGGGCTCCAGGCTTGCCTGTTGGGACTGAGTGGTGGCAGCAGCAGCTGGGCAGAAACTGCTGCTCAGTGCAGAGGAAAGTGGCCCCTCCCCATCACTGCCGCTGGGCATTTTTTTGCTGCAGCTGCCTGGAGCCCACGCCATGCTGGGCTGCAATTCAGCTCCTTCACTGCCACCTGTGAGCTGCCCTGTGGCTGCTCCCACTGCTGTCACAATGGGCAGCCCAGAAGCGGCGGTGAAGGAGCTGCACCACACCCTAATACAGTGCGGGCTCTGGGTGGCCGCAGCAAAAACTGCCCAGAGGCAGCAAGTGGGAAGGAGCCACTTTCCCCTGCGCCGAGAAGCAGTTTCTGCCCAGCTGCTGCTGCTCAGCCTTGATGGGCCAGCCCGGAGCCAGCGTGGGGCCCAGGCTCAGCAGTGGCAGTGCAGGACAAACTGCTGCTCAGTGTGGGGTAAAAGCAGCCCCTCCACCTCCCACTGCCAGTGCTTCCTGGTGCAGCCACTCAGAGCCCATACGGGGTTGCCCTGTGTCTGCTCTGCGCTGCCACCGCTGCCCCATGGGGCAGCCCAAAGGCAGCAGTGATGCCAGAGGCAGCAGAGCACCAGCTCAGGGATCCAACCTCAGCTCCCAAATGCCCCAGGATCACATACTGCTGCCAGACTTGAGCAGAATCTCCATATGAGATACAGGACAGCTCTGCACAGGCTCCAAGTGGCCAGACCAGGAAGTGCTGGCTGTGGGAGGAAGAGGGGCTGCTTTCCCCCCCCATGCTGAGCAGCAGTTTGTCCCATGCTGCCGCTGCTCAGCCCAGATGGGCAAGCACAGGGTGTGTGGGGTTGGGGCTGTGTGTGCTGGTTCCCACCTGTACTGTGGGGCTGTGGTGGAGGGGGGACTGGGACTGAGTGGGAGCACAGCGACAGCCAGGCAGGAGCCCTCCGGGGCCTGCGCCAGTGTCCCAGGAGCAGTGCCAGCAGGACCCAGCAGGAGCAGTGGGGCAGCAGGAGTGCATGGTCCTGTCCGGCAGGGGCTCTGTGGATCTGGGCCAGCTCTCCTCTCTCCCTGCTGGTGCAGCCCAGACAGGCTGGGGGGGGAGATGGGGGAAGGCAGGCCTTGCTGTTGTTGCAGGGTCCTGCGGTGGCATCCCCTGGGTCCTACTGATGCTGGCTCCTGTCGTCTTTGACAGGCAGCCAGGGGCAGATAAATATTAATTTTCTAAATTTTTTAGGGGCCCCACCAGCTGGATAGAATGGCCTGGCAGGTCAGATTCAGCCTGCGGATTGTATTTTGCCCACCCCGATATAGCATGTAGCAGATTAGGAAGGAATCAGGGAGAACAGCAGGAGATAAGGCAAGGAGAAGAGAGCAGAGCAACAGAGCAAACAGAGAAAGGTCTGTAGCTGTACCTGGGGAAGATACAGGGCTTACCTTGTGGCATGCCTGCTAAAAAGGTTGGCCCTTATTGTCCCAGGGGCAGGGGTGGCAAACCTACATGCTGCAGGTGGTACAGGCAGATTGCACATGTGTTGCACACAGCAGACTGGGGAGGGGAGAGGCAGCCCAGGGCAGGGAGTAGAAAAAAGAGCACCAGGCTGGGCAGGGAGCAGAAAGCAAAGCAGCAGGTCAAGCAGATGAGGTGGACTGGAGTGGCGCTTGGTGAATATGCCAGGCTAATTTGTGGCATGACTGCAAAAAAGTTTTTGGTCCCCCTAGGGCAACCCAGGGAACCCTGTCCAGGCAGTTCTGGGAGCTCTGGTTGGCTCTTTAAAGCACTCCCTTCACTTACTTTAGGAATCAAGGATTCAATTAATTTTCTCTCTCTCCTTGTGCACTATCTGGTCTCAAACCCTAGCCCATCAGGGACAGGGAGCCTTGCTATTCCTTAGATTGCAGCCCCAGGGAGCAAGAAAGAACTCAGCCTGGTCCCAGCCAGCAGTGGAGGTGAGGGGAACCTTGATATTGAGACAGGAAAGCTTAAGAAGCTGCTGCTAGGAGATGTTATCTACTGCCCCGCTCTGTCTCAGGATTTGCTTTCCATGTCCATGTCAGTGATTTTTGCGAATATCAATAAAAGGGAGTGACATGATTGTGACTCTTGAGGTGACCCTTTCACTCAGCAAGGCAAAACTTCTTACTTCTTACTGTAAAGACTGGAGCTCAGGCCTGTGTGGCGGTTGTGTGGAAGCTCTCTCGGGGAGCACATTAGGAGGAGGTCCCTCTGTAGCATGGCCCTACTCTGCAGAGTATGGTTCCCTGCCACTAACCTCCACAGGGTGTCTGTGC